AAATAAATCATTCTTTGATTTGAATTTGATCAAATCAAATCAAATATTCAAATATCAAATCGAATTGCGGAACCCTAGTAAATACTATATAACTTGAATTACAAGAGTCACAGCTTATAAGTGGTTGATATTATACTTTCTTCAATTATTGTAGTATCTATAGCACTTTGAAGGTTAGAGGTTGGATCCTATTCCTAAGTTATTTGACAGTATGATAAGCTTGTCTAATTTGATGAATCTCACAATAAGACTTATTTAGTTATAATGGTTGAATTCTAACAATACTGAAATACTAAGAGTGGTGACTGGATTTACTTATGTTTGAGAACTTTCTTCAGTATGATACCTGTTAGACTAGCGAATTGATGAAAGTAGATGGGTTCTAAAAGGATTAAAATACTTAAGGCTTTATAAATATAAGCTATTGGATTTTTAGCAAATGGATCCTTTATATTCTTAACAGAAGTTATGTGTTATTCTAGAATAAAAATAAATTTAGATTTTACATATTACTATATATAGTTAGTTATTCAAAAAGTAATATTTTTGAATTGCAACAATAATTCCCTAATTAAGTATTATTTACTTCTAAAGATTTGTAAGATTTATATTTTAAAGATAATAAATTGAAAGTTTATTAAAATATTATAAATATTCAAAAATATATAATAATATACAATTCAATTATTAATATTTTTTGATCTTCATAAATGTAGATAAGTATAGGTAAAAATTAAAATTAATTTTAGATGAAGATATAATTCTTTCTTTATTATTTTAAAATTATTATTAAATCGATTCAATTAATCTCTTGTATTTCTAATGTAAACAATCAAATTAAAACTAAAAATAAAAATTCATTAACTACAGATACATTATATAGGGATACTGGAAAGCTCTTTACCCATTGTATCTTATCAACCCCAATGGTGTTAAATAAATCATAAATCTTTTGCTCTTTCTATCCTTTTCTCAATAGTATTTTTTGATAGATCGCTTGGGAATTGCTTTGTAACTTCTTTGATGAGCATTCTCTGAGCCTTACATTCTCTATAAACGCTTTTGAATCTGTCAAACATATTTTCAAGTTCTTCTCTAAATGAATAATTTCGCCTAATAATTTCTTGATTTGTAATGCTATTTTGTTCATCAACCGTAATGATCACATTATATAAATCAGTTAAATTATCTGGGTCTGAGATTTCAGATTGTGGAGCAGTGGTGGTCAATGAAGAATTTGGTGATGCTAACTCTTCGATAAACTTTTTCAACATAGAGGGCTTGTCATCCTTATTAGATGTTTTCTGCTTTTTACTGGATGATTTTTCAGTAGAATCATGCAAGCAGACTTTGTTAGATTCTTGGCTTTTCCCAATTCTTTAGTACGCTTTCTCTGTATGTCATTTAAAACTGATTCAGTTAAAGGGCAAGTGTAAAGACTCCCCTCCTTATACTCACATAATTCGTGGTCAGATATAAACCATGATAATATATGGTATGAAGTAAAATATTTTCAAGACTGAGCAGTCCCAGAAAAATGCCAAGAAAAACACATTGATGTCCATGCAATGCAGTAAAGTAACGTATACGAAACCACATATAAAACATTTTTTTATTTTTCCGATGCACACACACAAAATACATACAAGTTAAAAATAATTCAGTACAAAAAATCTAACTGATACAATAGATATTACCACAGCTAGTCTTTTCTATAGATATCCACCCATATACCATAAGTTTCATATTCACGCCAACTATTTCTGTACAACTTTTTGATAGACTCCATAAATTATTTTCTAATATGAAATTTTCTAGTTTGAATTTGGTATATACTCGCAGTATATTGCGTCAAATTAATCATGAAACAGAAAAAATGCAAACGCATAATTGAACCTTAATAGAAAGTTCTTTTGACTGTTGAGGAGATAATGGCAAAGCTCACCTTGTTTTATAGGTTTTGCATCAAGAATCCTCCTCGGTTCAAGAATCGAATTCAAGATTTTTGCAATAACTACTGTGATTGAGAAATGGTTATAATAGAAATCAGGAGTCTCCCAGCTCCCCAATGAAAAAGGTTGGCGTATGACCTATGAAATTTTTTAAAGCTATTTTTGGTCAATATTATTATTGCTAAACTATGACTTTTATGAATGAAGAGTGAATGCGTATTTGTCAAGTCAAAAAGAGTACGTTTGGTTAATACAAGTCCCCGACTACTATCTCCACCTACGAAACATGTTTTTCGGTTTCGATTTCGTCCTTGCCCACCTACAAAACATGCGTTGCACGTTTTTTCGGCTTCGACCAGTCATCCACCTACGAAACACGTATTGCACGTGTTTTTTCGGCTTCTCCTGGAACCGCCCAGATCCACCTACCGAAACATACGAAACGTTTCTCGGCTTCACAACACCTACGAAACACAAAAAAATGTTTCGAGGCCTATCCCACCTACCAAAACACAAGGAGTGTTTCTCGGCTTCGCGGATAGGAACTTGTATTATTGCCAAAGTACTAGAGTGAGAAAAGAAGTAGAAAAATTTTTTTTTTGGGCAGTCAGTCATAATATATAAAATACTATATATATTACCTGTTACGTAATTGATATTTACTATAATCATGTGACGGATATCACATAAGTTGAATCGCGTTCGATCAGCAGTTAAGAATTACGCGTTACATTTTTTACATTTTTAGTTATCAAAGTGGCTCAAAAGGAATCTCAAGGATAATGTTAAAGAAACACTAGAAGCAACGATCGAACATCTGATTAAGTTAAAACCTCCCAAATGTAATAGTAAGGCGTTGAAGTCTTCATTACGAGATCTGATGAAAAATGATGAAGCGATACGTAAAGAATGCGAAGCACTAAACATGTGGCTTACCGCTGATGTTCCTGAGAAAGTGGAAAATAAGAGATTAAAGGTTGTTGATAAAGATAATCGAGCTGTTTTCAAGAAAGTAAGAGTTGTACAGTACAATATTTCTTATGGAACACAAACACAAACACAAACACAAAATTCAAATAATATAGTAAAAGAAGAACAAGCAACAAATGATAAAGAATCGCAGGAAAGTGGAAGTCCTACAAATAATAAAGAATCGCAGAAAAGTGAAGAAGTACAAGCAGTTCCTACAAATAATAAAGAATCGCAGGAAAGTGACGAAGAACAAGCAGTTTCTACAAATGATAAAGAATCACAGGAAATAGATATACGAAGTTGGCGGGAAGTAAACAAAGAAGAGGGGGAAATTTTAATTTATCCATCATTTTCACGAATTCCGCAAAGTACTCATTCTCGCCAGCTAAGCAAGGTTCGTATGTTGAACCAACATTAGAACACGTTGAGAGAGCACTCTTTAGATTCCTTGTAAAAAATCAGGAATATATTCCTTTCAACATAGTAAAAGAATTTGCAGTTAAATGCCATCCTCCGCGAAATATTGACTTCTCGGATGCCGATCTACTTTGTCTCTTAAACTTTATTATAAAAATAATTCTTTGTTTATGGTTCCTAATTCTGATCAAACGCTTTTCCATGGAGAGTATAAACTAAAACCGTTAGATATTCTTAAATCTTTCAAAACTGAAGCGAGAAACTACCATGCGCATGGAATAACGCAATTTGAAGGAAGATGGTGCGACGAAAAACTTCAAAGACTGTCGACTTTGTCATTAGAATTAGTCGATTGCCTTGGTAAGTTTTGTATGGATATCATTCATACAGTATTTTAAATATTTATTAAGAACAATTTTTTTTTGTGTAATCTATTCTATTGTATAATAGGAGACGAAAAAGCATATGAGTTATTATTGAAAATTAAACTGAAGCTTAATTCTGAGCTCGAGGAACAATGTATTTCATCAATGAAAAGGAAACATGAAGAAAATGGAGATAAATTACATGAAAGAAAGAAAAGGATGACAGATATAGAACTCGGAGAGTTGGTTGATTTCGCTCTTGATATAGTAAATAAACTCAAGTCAACAGATGAAGGACATCTAAGTCAAATTGTGCGACTAGCTGTCGATGAAGACAAGGCATTTGTAAATATTTGGAAATCTTTAGTAACCCAAAAGGACGAGAGTGCGAGGATTCAAAAGTTTATTTCTCTGATGAATGTCCGTTTTGATATGGTGAGTATTTCATGCGTATCTCGAATGTTTGGTATAATATACGACTTACAACTGATTGCATAATATTATACTCAACAGAATTTAAAGACCAAGAGTGGAACAATTTGAAAATATTAAAAATTTGACTTTCCTTTTTTGATAATTATCAGCAAGAGCTTTTTCAATGTGAAGTTTAATTTATCAGTACAACAGTTTATATTACTTAATAAAATATTATGCATAACCTATCGAATAATTATGTACTTATTATAAGTTATCAAATATAAATCTTAATCATACATATTTGGTTAGGTAGCATAGTTTTATTTCTGATGCGAAGTTAAAAAAAAAAAATAACTTTTTATTTTTCCGATGCACTGGTTAAGAAACAAAGCCCGATATGGGCAAAAATCCGTCTTCTTGATCGAAGCCAGAAAAAAATATATCATAATAGGTTAGAATCATTTTAACCTCATCGTAGAGCTTCTTTAAAGCTTCGTTTGTTTTTCTAAAATGGGCAAGACGCTTCTCCAGTTCCTCTCCAAAGTAATAAAAATACAGTTGAACCTCACTATAACGAATTTCTATATTCCGAATTTTTTATTATAGCGAATTACATGAGTGGTTGGGTTGTGCGATATCAGTCTAATCACAAACATAGTGGAACTACTATATGCCAAATATGATTTTTAGGCTGAAATATGTTCAAATTTAGCATTAACTCATTTTTGATTTTTCCGGCCCTTGCAAAAGCCCCAAATATCAATTTTTTATATCTAAAACTTTTTATTTTAAAAAGAATTTATCATAATTTGCTTAAATTTAAAATCAATATCACACCCTAAATGAAGTGAGATTTTATTTTCGCTACATTGTGTGTAAAAACCCGGGTATTTTACAAATTTAAATAAAATAGTGGTGTTACTTACGTATTTGTAAATTTTTTGATCAAATCCCAAATCATGACTTCACAAAATTCCGAACAAGATAATGACAAAGAAACAAAACCATTTATAGATAATTATATCAAAGATGTAAATTCATATTTAGGAGATTTTTTAAAAACGTCACAACCGAAGTATGATCCAAATGAAACGTCAATTACAGACCCATTACCAAAGTCTTCAACTACTGTAAAAAACCAAGAAAAAACAACGAAATCTATTTCATTATCGGAATTATTATCGTCACCAACTATAAATCCTGAAATATTTTCAAATAAACCTTTTAAGGATAATAATGCTAGCGAGTCTCCTATAAATGATAATTCTTTTTCTCGTCAACAAGAGGCAAAACAATCTTTAGCACAAAAGCTTAAAATATCAGAAATACGTACAGATTATTTTGACCAAAAAAAAGAAATATGGAATGGTGCATTGATCAATTGTTCAGAATTACATGTAAAGTTACAAGAATGTATGTCTTTTGGTGGATTTTTTGATAAAATGAGTTTATGTACGTCTTCAAGAAGAAAATTTTGGAGCTGTTTGGAAGATCAAAAAGTCAGTATCATCTTTTAAATCTCTTTTTTCTTTATAAATCATTCGAGTTCAAATTTGATTTAATGATAAAATTGAATCTTATAGAAATTCTTAACAGATAATGGATATGCTTCTCCAGGCAAAAATGTAGCTGAAAATGAGGAAATTTTATATCAAGCTGATTTGTACAATCTTTCTAAACTCGATCAGGAGGAAAAATTAAAATCATAATATATTTTATTTAGTTAATTTATTTGTTCCAATGTAAATTCTTTTCATATGCAAAATAAATTAATATTTTATTGGTTACAAATATAATTTAACGAATTCTATTATACCGTTCCAAACGTTCATGTAAACAATTTTTTCATTCACCCCTCTTCTTACACTTTATAACCTTCTAGCTTTCCTTGGCCTACATCCGTTGAAAGGCAAAGGAGTAGTATCAGTAATCCGTTTAACATTCCATTGATTCTCCACATTAGCCAGAGCTTTAAAGGCAGCATCTCTACCAGGACCAAATCCTTTTATACAAATTTCTACATTCTTAACATTTAATCCTTTTTCTTTAATTTTCTGAATGACTCCAGCAGCAGTTTGATGAGCAGCTTCATAACCCCCTCGTTGAGCTTTCTTAAAACCGACACTACCACCTGATTTAGTTAATAAAATATCACCACGAGAATTTGTTAATGTTACTAAAGTATTATTATATGATGCGTGAATATGAAGAATATAAATTTCCTCGGAAGGAACCAAGAAATCTGATAGAAGTTTTGCTACATCAGAATTTGGAGATGAAGAACGATAAGGTGAAGAGGAAGTTGGAAAAGATGAGGAATATGAACTTTTAGATTGAAAATTTGATAAAAAATGATCTATTCCTTCTTTCCCTGAAGGAGGTTCTTGTTTGGTCGATAGAAAAGATGATGATGATGGTGGTGGTTCTGAACTAAAAAGACTTAATATATCATCAATGTTTTGTTGATTTTTTGATTTTGTAGAACTACTTTCTTGAACGGAATCATTCTTGTTAATTTCATCGATTTCTTTTTCTGCTACTGGTTTGTTTGCTTTATCATCACTTTTGCAGTTATTCGATGCCGATGTTAATAATCGTTTTTGAAAAGAAAGTTGTAAATTTTGACGATGTAAATTTAATGATTTTAAATTAAAATTTTTAGATATTTTAGAAATTGAAAACATTATTCTTAGAAAAAAAGAAAATTTTTACGCTTCGAATTGGGGTTTATGAAAATTTCACGTGATTTTTGAACATGTAATAATGATTGGGTTACGACAAATGTATATCAGGTGATATATTATTCTCATATTTTAGGAAATTTCTGTAATTCCGGCCGAAGCTACATTGATTCATCACCCAAAATTTTCTGACCTGCAATGTGGCATAAATTTAAACCGTGAATTAAGTTACACAATTGCGGGTTCGAAAATATGTGCATATTATCTCACAAATTTTTTTATTTTTATTTTTTATCTGTACAGTGACTTCAAAAATTACGTAAACACACTCCATTCGAATCCATCTTCCTCTTCATTATCTTTTTTTATTTCCTAGTTTTTCATCCGTAATACCAATCTTTTTAGTACCATAAACATGCAATTGATTATCTTCACCACCACTCAAAATAACATCATTATCCCAATCAACACTAAAAACCTTTTTAATTTTAATATTCTCTTTCTCCTTTCCTTTATCATCATTCTGTTGTTTAGAGAGAGTATATAGTGGCGTTTTGCTTCTAACGTCCCAAATTTTTACTGTTCCATCGTAAGATCCACTAGCCAACATAAATGAATTTGTTGTTGACCATGATATACTGGTTACCCAATTCTTGTGTGATAATAATGTTAATTTTACAATAGCTGTATCTAGAAATGTGAAATAAGAAAAGAAGGTTAAACTGTGAAGAAACGCGAAGTTTAATAAAAGATGATGATGTAACTAAGTACCTGTTGCTCTTGGGTCCCATATCCTAATTACTCGATCTGAATGTCCTGAAGCTATCAATCCTGATTTATTTGAATATGAAATTCCATAAACAACTTTATCACAATTCTAAAAAAAATTTCGGTTCTATTGTAAATTTGATATCAAAGTTTTTGAAATTCTCAAATAATAAAAAAAAAGTATACCTTAGTATCTATATTAGTTCTAGCTTCAACGTCCCAAATTCTAATAGTATGATCCCATCCTCCACTATATAATTTATTATTGTCGTCATGATCAAATGTAACTGAAGAAACTGCTCCAACGTGTCCATTCATTGTAGCAATTGGATACTATATAATAGAAAGTTCGTATTTCAAAAAAAAAAAAAAAAAAAAAAAAATTAACGATAATTTTCAATTAAGAATACATACCTTTGTGCGTATTTTTTCTTTTTTATTAACTTTCCTCCTTTTTGATGAAGTGTGAATCTTTATATGTTCGTCATCATCACTATCTTCAGGTATTTCCATTGTCCATAGCATAATAGAAGAATCCCAAGAACCACTTGCAAACTATAAAATCAAACTTGTTTAACTTAAAGAACGACTCTCTTTATTCAAATCCTCCCAAAAAGAGGAAAGATATATATCATTACCTCTGAACCAGAAGGACTAACAGAAACACTTTCAACACTATCTTTATGCCCAACACATTCATATAACGATATATATTTATTATGTTCGAATGATGACTTCCATGCTCTAATAGTTCTATCTTGTGAAGCTGATAAAAACGATAATTCGTCATCTAAAAATTCAATTTTAATAAATAAATAATAAATAATTTTGTTATAATATATTTCAAAATCGAAGAAATAAGTACCCTGAACCGAAACCCAAGAAACACTTTTTATAGGAGCATTATGGCCCACGAAAGTTTGCAAACATTCTCCAGAGGCATTCCATATTCTTGCATAATTATCATAAGAACCTGTCAAAAAATATCTACAAAGATGTCAATTAAAATTCCTTAAAAAAATTTCAAAAAAAAAAACTACACAATTATCCCTCAATACACCTTTGATTATAACTTTTAACAGAACTTATCCAATCATCATGTTGAAAGGAAGATAAAGGAGTAGGTGGTAATATAGATTCGACATATTCAACGGTAATAATATTTTCAGTTGATAATCCGGAATTTTCTAAATATTCTAATAAACTTGTTCTTAAAAATAAATTATCTATCATAAAATCAAATGGTACGGGCTTCTCTAAAATTTATTTAAAGAAAATGAATTCATTTAATTAATTCGAAATGGTAAAGGTTAAAAAGAAAGGTGTTAAGTACCGAAGCCTAAAAGATGATTTATAATTTCAGATAATCCATATCTTTTTAACTTGGCAGGTACAAGTATTGGAGTATCAGTAACAGCAAATTCAGGTTGTTTAGTAATGAAACGAACTTGTATTTCCTGCGAAGTTTCCATGTTTTAATTTTAAAATTTAAACAATCAAAATTTTATTTTAAAAAGTGAGTGCGTGCTAAAAAATACATTTTTTCTTTTTATCAAAAAAAAAAAAAATTATCAGAATGTAAGCCACTCATCTATTGGAGTACAAAATTTCGACTATAGCATAAAATTAATTTATACATGATTACTTTTACGAAAATGGTGCTAATTATTATATTACAAAAATTATTATTATTACTCTTAAATAAATGAAAATATTTTATTATGAAGTGCTTCTTATTGGTGTTGGTGATGCAGAGGCAGCCAATCTTTTCTGTTTAGCGGCATTGAAAGCGGCTCTCATTTTGAAATAATCTTTATGTAAACCACATTCAGTTTTATTTTTTCCTTCCCATCTTCCATCCCTTTCATTCGAAGAATCATTATTCAATGGTTTAGTACTGTGCCAATCGCCAATTGACCTATAACCTTGATCGAGGAGCGGATTGTAAGGCACCTTTAAGGATAAATAAGGTTAGACGGGTTAGACGACGATCAAAAAGTGATTTCATCGAACATTCTCGAAGAGATTCTCGGGAAATTTCTTTACCTCATTGGCTTTAATATAAGCTTTAACTTTAGCAAAATCCCAATGGGCTAAAGGATTCAATTTTATTAATCCGGTTCCCTTTTCCAATTCCAAAATATCGATACTTTCTCTCTCTCCTTTTTGGCTTCTTCTTCTTCCTGTGATTACAGCCAAAACATTTAATTGTTTATAAGCTCTTCTTGAAGGTTCGACTTTTACTAGAAAATCATAGCTATCTTCGTCATTCTCCCACAAATTTTGTCCGTGCTGCGCCTCGAAACTTTCTACTGTTTCACAATCAATTGGCTTAAAAACATGTAATGGAACCTTATAACGGGTCGATACGTTATTCGCTAACTGAAGAGTTTCGGAAAAATGATAGAGAGTGTCGAGGAAGATAAGCGGAACCAAATGTTGTGGCTCGGTTTCGTTTTCCTCAGAAAATTCTTGACTGATTTTTGATATCATATCCAAAATAGCGAGCCCTAAAAAATAAAAATAAAAAATTTTTTAATAAATTAAACTTGATATTTTAAGGAAAAAAAAATAAATAAATAATTTTCGATATATACCGGTGAGACCGAAGGCTGTCGTTTGATATAACCCTGGTAAAGTTACGATGGCCCATTCCAAGATTTTTTGAGGTGGTAATTTCGCCAAGTTTTGATTTAAATGTTTTAAATGTTTTTCAGTAAATAAAGGGTACAATTGAGGTGCCATTTTTTTTTGCTTTTAAAAAATGAAGACGTTATGTAAAAATTTTGTTTCGAGGAAAATTTTGAAAATTTTACAATTTTAAAAAGATGGATTTTTGCTCGATTTTTATATGATATTTTTTTTTTTTATTGTGCATATTAATGTACTATATAATGAATGAAAAAATTTTTTGATTTTGATTTGTAATTTTTCGTGTAAAAAAAAACGCGATTCATTTTTTGATTTCCAGATTTCTCCAATCAGATTCGACAAAAATTGCGTCAGATGTGAGAAATTTTGTTCAATATCATATTTTGTATAAAAATGTATAACTATGGTGTGATAAACAGATAATGTATAGTTGAAAGTCTAAACTTAATTTAGATAATTCCGTTACGAAAAATTTTATAGTTATATTAAAACAATCTACTTCGTAATTAAAAGATTTCTTTTATCACAAGATATTAACTTGGATTCTTTTAAATATATTTTTTTCTTTATGCCTTCACATTACTTTTTGCGAATTTCTTTTTTTTTGGGTAAAGAGTTGTAAACTGAATAGCCACATCAAAAATGGTAAAACGCCACTTAGGTTGACTTTTTCCTAAAATAAACCTGATTATTCTTTAAAATTCGAACGTCATAACTACGAAATTCAGAATTCGTACTTATCACAGATTATCTTATCACGTGTTACTTATCTTATCAAGATTTGATTGTAATTGTTATAATTGTTATTTACCCGATATCCGATACTAGATTATAGATTCCGGATTAGGTTTATTAATGGCAATTTTTGCTGTATTTTGTTACTAATTCCGGTCAAAGGAGTAAGATTTATTTTTCATGTGAAGAAATTAAATAATCTTTTTGCTTTTGAAACAAAAGTCAATGTAAGGAGTGTAAGGAGAAAAAGGTAACTCGATATCTGAAATATTTTACCATATGCTTACAAATGGTTTTTCTTTCTTGGCACTGCGTAATAATCTCGGTTAAATTGCCATTACTAAAATAATAATTCCGGATAAATATCGGATCGATATTTCTATTGTACGTAATAGGAAATTTCGATAATTACGATGCATCAACTTCGTCATAGAGAATTTAATTGGTAGTTTCATCCGTCGGTGGAGTTGGATTCGTAACTTGTTTTAATAGTTATGTTATAAGAATAATTAATAATTTTTATATTAAGGATTTTCCTTATAGCAATTCGATAAATTTATATAGTATATGGTAAAATATTAACGAGAATATTCCGATATCATATAATTATATTATGCCAGCATATATGACCTGAATTAGGTTATGACTACCACTTATTATGAAGTAGTAATTTTCACGTCTAAAGTGTGCTATTTCTAGCATTAGGAAATTTTATAATGTAATGTTACGTAATACTTATAATACTACACTGTAAATTAATGTATAATTTACATTTTTAGCAAAGTAATCTGTAATTTATTTATTATGTACCAGTTTGATATGAAAATGTAATACTTACAGAGTACCTCAATAATATGGGGCCTTTGCAATAGAAAGGGGGAAAACTCCTGGAAAGATTAATTTTCTTTCATATGCCAAATATGATTTTTAGGCTGAAATATGTTCAAATTTAGCATTAACTCATTTTTGATTTTTCCGGCAGTTTCCCCCTTTCTATTGCAAAGGTCCCATATGTTATCAAAATATATTGAAGGTTTACATAGGTCATAAAAAAAACTCAAACCCTACAATATTTATAATTTGTAATATTTAATCATTATGCTTGTATTAGCCATAATATTAATGCAATACTTAATTTTTATAATAAAGTGAAAAATACTATATTACTATACATAATTGTGATTGCTTTATTTCTCTGTGAAATCACATAATATCAATTTTTATTATTTTATTATTTTTGATTAAATTTATTTTATTTAATTACATATAAATTAATTATAACATTTTAATTTATTTTCCTTTAGTAAATAGTACTAATAATTATATTATATCTTGCATTTGTCATACTTATATTTAAATCAATATTTAGATATTTATACACTTGAATTTCTTTAATAATAGTTGATAGTGATTCTTTAAACTAATTAATTTAAAGAATCACCAGCGATTATGACAGTAACATTATAGTCCCATAATCTGATGAGCAGTTATAGCCTAATTATAGTGATATAATCTAATGACATAATCTAATAGCAACATTATAATCTAATATCATAATTTAATAATAACTTCATAATCTATCTAATTTATTCTTTAGATATTTTTTTGGGTTTCTAGTTATTGCTTTAATTATTTCTTGTATATTATAATGATGATTAGTAATGCTTAAATCTAATTATATTATCATGATCTAGTGGTAATTATTTTCTTCTTATTTTTAGCTTGTTTGCAAGTTAGGTTCTTTATTGAGGATGTTGGTTATCTATATTATTTGGAAACTGACTTTTATATTGAAAATGCTGGCCATTTATGTTAGTTTGAATATTAGTTCTATACTAAGAATTACGCCTATTTAATTATCAGCTAAAATATTAAATTATAGTAAAAAATCACATTAAGCAAATAAATTTTACAATTAATTTTGGCTTATAATTTCAGCCAATTTTAGATAAAAATCCAATTTAGCATCATACTAATGCTAAGGATACTGATGGTTACCAGTTTTATGTTAGCTTGAATACTAAGTTCTTATACCTAAGTTTTAGCTAAAATTATAAAATAGTGTTATCTGAAATTATCTTAATTTATTACGCCTTTAGTTCTCAGCACTTTTTCATTACTTTCTTATCACTTTTGAGAAATATTTAAATGATTATATCCAGCCTATTTGATTTTCAGAATCATGTGATTTTGGGATATATAATTTGTAAGATTGAAGTTGATGCTAATGAAGGTAAAGGTTTCTACTAATATTTTATATAATGATTTGCTCTTAAAGGGATCTACTATATCCAAATATATACTAGTAATAAGGTAGTATAGTTTTTGAAGTTACTTATCCTTGATAGTACCTATAAAATATACATTTATTTTCTCTATAGAAGTCTTTATATTATATTTAACCACATATCTAGAAAAGTGTAGCCTTCTTTTAATTTTTTATATAATATTTTTGAAAATGACTACACTTTTAGATATATATCCAGATAATGATCTATTTGTTTGCTGAATAAGACCAGAGGTAGTCATAATTTTATAGACTCAATCTTTATACTATACTGAATACAAAAATTTCCTAAGTATCTACAAATAGGGTTCCTCAAAATCGAATCAAATCAAATATTTAAGCAATTTGAATTTGATTAATTTTTTCAAATTAAATTGAATTGAATTGAATTGAACTCAAATAATTGATTGAATTGAATCAAATTGAATCAAATATTTGTCAAATCAAATCAAATCAAATCAAATTAAATTGAATATAAAAATTTTTTTAATTTTTACAATGATATATTAAAATAAAGTTATTATAAAGTTTTAATTAAGAAAATTATTAGTAAT